ATGTGTAGTAAGTCATTTTCTATGCATCTGATAATAGTCCTATTGCACGAATATGAATTAGATTCAATTAATTCGACGAAACCTTGTCTTATTTTCGTCGTAGAGGATGAGAATTTTGATGATACTGTTCTCTCGAAATGATGCTGAACTGATGACTTTGCTCACATCGCTAGAAACATTCTTCATGAAGCGTTCTCACAGAAGTAAGAGAGCGCAGTCGAAAAGGGCAGTGTTATCAAAAAGATGGATTTTCCATTTCTGTGTAAGGACATCTTTAGATTTAAAACGTGATGTGTTTCTAAAAATGTCCTGATCTTAAACGAATAAGATGACGGGATGAATCATTGAATATTAGTACAGATATTGATTGCTTAGTGGTACCTCTCTTTTTCGAAAATATTGTGAACATCCGATAAATCATGAGAAATATACACGTGTGCCAAAAGGAGTCAAGCCTGTGTCTATACAGCTTTCGAACTTTTTGATTTCTTATTATGATGTGGCTCACAATCGAATTCGTTGGTTATGTCCAAGATGTCATACATTCGAATCGAAGAAAATGATGAATCATCAATCAATGAAAGTCAACGACGATGAAAGTTCTCCTATCAATCAAAATAAAAATAATGATGATGATAATGATGCTGTCGATATGGATGTCAATGAACTGAACGAAGAAGAGAAACAAAATTCTCATATGGATAGTGGTCTTATAGCTGAATCAGACGACGACGATGATAAATCACCACAAATCGATGAAAGCCCAACTGATCCCGAATCGACGAACGAAGGGATAGATGATGTTTCCTATGAATTCGAATATAAGAAAGACAAAGCAATAGAAGAATTGTCGGCTGTATTCAAATTACTGAACATAGATCCGATTCGTGACAGGTTAGTTTGTAAACTCAATTCGAATTTACTGAAATGAGGATTGTATTTATATCAGTAGTAGCACCCATTCGGACCAAAGTTGTGGAAGTTTATCGAAAACTAAATCGATTATGCGATGTACTGGATGAGAAATCTCAACTTTCGAATGATGCCAATCCTAATGAACTAACAATACAAGAATCGAACGAACTTTTGAGTGGTTTAAAAAAGTTATATGCTGATAGTGATGCTGATGAAAGGGTTCGCCTGATGACAATTGTTCCTAAAGATTGGGGTCGACGAAAAATAGCAAAATGATGCGTATTCTATTCTCTTTTTGTTCAATATCTCCGTATTCTTTCTATTTATTAGGTTTCAATCAAAACCAAATCAGGCTCGACGATCGCTTGTTCTTCGAAAAAACAGTGGAATATTCGCTTATCCACAGTGTCTGCAAGGAACTAATCGTGCTTTGTCTGACTCAACGATTGATGAAGTGGTCAAGTTTTATCGTGAAGATGGTATCAGTCGAGCCTCATCCAATTTCAAAGACACGATTAAAATCAATGGACAATCAGTAGCAGTTCACTTTCTAGAAATGACTGTGTTGGACGCGTATCGAATATTCAATGAACAACATCCTGGACTTGTTGCGCGATCAACTTTCAATGCTCTTCGACCACGAGAAGTAAAAACTGCGACACCACATGATACGTGTATCTGTATAATTCATGAGAACATTGACTTGTTGTTGAAGGTTTGTGCCGTTTGTATGTTGATTCAAACTTTAAATAGTTTCATTATAGGCTTGGAACAACCACTATCAAAAATGTGCTGGTACAGCTACTTTATCAGCAACCAATAAGATTAATATGAAAGATCTAATTAATCAAATGGTGTGCACAGACTCTAATGAAAAGTGCTTCAGTGGTAAATGCAATAATTGTTCATCGGAGAACATCAGAGATATTCTCGCTGGTAACAGTATGGTGGATTTGGATAAAGAATGTTCATGGACTCTGTGGAAGAAAGTTAACAATAAGTTCGACCTTCAACAGATGTTTGACTCAGTTGAATCTCTCATATCGGAAATTGAAGAAAGATGGCCATCATTCTTGCTTCATACACACATAAACAGAGAACAATGTGAATTCATCAAAGACTTGCGCAGCAAATCGACGAACGCTTCGTTTGTGGTGGCGCAGATAGATTTCTCAATGAATTACACATTGATACGTCAGCGTGAAGTTCAACAAGGATTCTTTAGTCAGCACCAAGTCAGCTTATTTACAATCCATCTTACCATTGGAGATGAACACAAAAATTTAGCAATTATAAGCAATTATATGGAACATACAACAGCATTCGTGCACTGTGCACAAAAAATTCTCGTTGACTTTATTAAGAAAAATTTTCCATTGGTAAAAAAGATCAATTATGTGAGGTAACTCTTATTTTTTATGTGTTTTACCTGCTATGTTATCTCTCTTCTTTCTTTTAGTGATGGGGCATCTGCCCATTTTAAGAATAACGCTAGTATCTTGAACCTGATTCATCACAAGCGCGATTTTGGTTTGGATGCTTCTTGGACGTTCACAGCTACGGATCATGGTAAAGGTACTGGAGACGGAATTGGGGCAGTGCTAAAGTCTACCGCCAGACGTGATACACTTTCCAAGAACATTCTCATGTCAAACGCAAAGGATTTTTACGAGTTTTCAAAAAAACAACAACTTGAAACAGCAAAAAGATCCAACAAAGATAATCCTCCTGTTAATATCTTCTATCTTGACTCGGATGAAGTAGAAAAAGTTAAGAAAACTTACTTAAAAACTAGAACCGAAAAACTTCGAGCAACAGGTAAGAAGACTTTTGACTTTATTCTCTTACGTTGCTTTTGGTTTAGGTACAATACAAGGTATTCGTAGTATGCATGAATTTAAGCCAACTGATCATTCAACCGTTCAATATAGTTTGACGTCTTGATCAAGTCAAATACGAACTTTTACATTAAAAAAAAACTTCTTTTTTATGTTTCTCCATAGACTGAATTCTTATCAAAATCATACGTGATGACGATATCGAGTATTCATAATGAATAGGTCTCTTCATCACTACACTAGCTTTCTTTCGTATAGAATTCATCACTTAGGATTAATTTTCTGACAGAATTTAATGACATCAACTTCTTTATAGCTTTACAACGAAAATAAGACAAGGTTTCTTCGAATTAATTGAATCTAATTCACATTCGTGCAATAGAACTATTATCATATACATAGAAAATGACTTACCACATATGAAATTCAACAAGATCAGTCTGATTCCTGCCAGAAAACATGTTTCTAGACTTGTTTGATATTTATGAGTACTAGACAATTCCGAAAAAAGAGCTTTTGATGAAGTTCCAGACATTTTTCTGTCATTTTTTCTATGTATAGGAAAACGCTGTAGGTGTACCTGAAAAACGCTACAAATTTCGAGGTTTTCCGCAGATAGGACCCAATTTTGTTTTCACCAAAAGTGTTTTCTAACAGAGATCGGATGTTTGAGCCGAAAAAAAATCGAAAAAAAACCTTTCCAGAAAAGTGGATGGGTCCTCATGGATTTACTCAAAGAAATTTTTAACGAACTTGATGCCTTAACCCTTTCCGGCCGGCTACCAGAAAACAGAAAGCAAAATATTTTCTTTATATATATTCTTGTTAGTTTAGTTATGAGGATCAATTTTTCAGCCTCGAATTATTGGAGAATGCCGTACCCCCTACGGCAAAATTGTTGCCTTTTGGCAACATCCGGCCGGAAAGGGTTAAACAACTGGCGAGGAGCACTATTTGGGTATATCATTCCAATTTTATTCATTCATACGCACTTTCATAGGCCATAGTGAATTAGTCAAAACCTAACAAAATGATCGGCCATCCGCTCATTCTGGAGACGTTATGATAACTTTAGTGGAATTCTATTCTGCGATGTGGCACACTGTAAAAATACCGTAGAATAATAACTCATCTTAACCCATGTCCTCAAAATCGCCTCTGTTTGGACGATATATCGCGATTTACTATGCCGATTAATTGTGAGATTAATCGCGATTAATCGTCCAAACCGAGGCGATTTTGAGGACATGGGTAGTGATCTATTAATCTTATAAGTTACAGGAGGGATATTTTATACGTTGCACTCTCATATACCCTTAAAAGGTTTATTAACCTAATAAATCCTTGAAAATCGCCTTTCTTTCCTATGGTTCTTCTAAAAGGCATATTAACGAATCGTGTAAGTATATATCAATGTCCACCTATCCCAAAGACTTTAAGAAAATGCAACGTATAAGAAACATGATTTATAGGTGGGTACATTACGTTCATAAAGTTAAAAAGGGTTTATGTCGCGACCATCAATCATTTTCGAGAGTTCATAATTCGACGTTCGTTTACAGTGTATACTTAATACTGGATGATTGAGGAAATTTCTTGTACTTACGTCGAAAGCACTGTTGAATTTGACTATGAAATTCTTTGTATATAAGCAACACAACTAACTAGAAATATTGACTCATATTTTGTATTCCAAGACTTGAATGGGAAACTCGAACACGAATATAACGAAAAGTAATTGTATTTCAGTGTTTATTCCAAGACATTATAACGGAAGTTGGTCAAATTAGTTGGTGCTGTTACTTCTGCGACCTCCATCGGCGTGAAAAACTTTTGTTTAATCGACAAAACTCTTATCTGTTGTCATTCACATAGTCTTTGGTAACAGTTAAGTGTTCCCATCAGTCGAAGAATCTTGGGTAAGCCACTAGATGTGAATGAGCGTAGAAGAGAAAAATACGCACCTGATCATCCAAGCTCGCATTCCATTTCCATTATTTACATTTGTGACAACAATGGCAGGACATCCTTTCTTAGTGTTACGCAATATATCGCTATATAATATGGTGGCCTTCATAATGCCATCAATGTATCGTGATGTAATATGATTATGCTGTTAGGTACAGTACTCGTATATTGCATCGCTCTTATGTGATGCGTACATTCATGTTCGATCTTTTTTCTGTTCTATCCTCCTCTCTTCTGCTCTGTTGTATGTTCTCTTTCTCGTATATGAGCTCGTGTCGTATGTGAAAATCGTCGTATTTGGATGTAGTACACAATCGAGTAAACATCAGACTTTTAAGGGGATCAAAGATATTATGTGTCTCTCCATGTGTTAATAACGGTACTAAGAACATCTCTCTCTCTCTCTCAAAAGTTCGTTACGACATTGAAGGTGAACGGTCATATTTTCAATAAGGTCTGTTCAGTACCATATGGAATTGTTTTGTATTTTTACTCGCCAAAAACTATAGGCCACACTCGTACATTGTGCTTTCGAGTATTGAATGTTTTCAAAGCAGGTCACAAACGATTCTCATTCTGAATTCTAGTTGTAAGGCAAAATTGATAAGACTCATCTGTGACAAAATATGTTATCGTTGACAATTCAATGTAGTGTTTACTAACTGTGTTGTCTTTTTCTATGAATGCTTCATAAATTCCTTAACCTGCGCGAACGCTGAGAAAACAATTTTAAATTTAATGAAAACAAAACCGTCGCGCACTTGTTGTAACGATAATGATATCGTTCATCTCTTTCTGTTCTCTATTCTCTCGCCTCTATATCATACTATCTCCGGGTCACCTCTCTATTTCCTCTTCTCTATATACGCGCGTGTTTTATTGTGAAATAGAGACGTTCTGGTCATGTAGAGTAGTCAATAAACATTTATACCGTGAGAAGCGGTCAGCTACTCAACCAGTTTGTCGTTACACTTGTATTTACTATCTTCTGATAATTTGCATTATTCATGATCTTTGTTTTCAGGTTACACGCGATTTGCCAATTTACTGAGAGATCCGTGACCAATCTTGAAGATGTATAAACTGATAGATTTTTTGTTCATTTTATGATACTTGCGCAACCAAACACTAATGGTGTTAACGATAGAACTGGGACTATCACAAATATATGATCATAAATCTTATTTTTCGAATCGTATTCGTTTACAATAGAGCCGGGAACAGTTCTTTATCAGTCCAATATATTATTTCTAATTTCTTGAATCAATGGAACTATGCGGCTCTCAATTGTTGTATAACATTTGTTTGACAATACTAATCAGAATTGAATATCTCTTCCCATTGTATTACGTTGATGAAATTCAAGCATTATGTGTGCACTTTGGAACTATCTATTTACATCGGGTTCAGAATTCCATCTCAAAGTGAGGCTTAGATAAATAACACGATACGTCTTCAAATATTTGGAAATAGCGGCGCAGTCGCCATGTACATATCTAATGAAAAAAGATCTACACCAATAAAACTCTTTAATAGTATTCTACAGAAACTGATATCATTGCTTTATCGAATCGGCACTTCTCATCTTCATCATCAAGATTGTTACATCAGCGCTCTATTATAGTTTTCTATGATTAGTTAAAACTATGTCTTCGCGTCTTTGAAATTAAATTGATTAAAAGGAAGATAGAAATTAAAATTCTCGTGCGTTCTGTCCTCATGATTTTCCAACACACAGCCATTGGTTGATTTACCTCCAGCTTAATAAGCAACGGAAAATTTTCTGCAGACAATCGCGTACGTGATAAATGTTGCGCAATAGATATAAGTACATTCACCTCGTCTGTGATATGTCATGCATAAAAAACAAAAATCGGAAAAAAGTTTGTTTTTCAATGAAAATAATTTTTGTCAGGTATTTATGAAATAATCATATTCAGTTTCTCACTAACCTACAATATTAGTGTTTTCATCTAGTATCCCAATCGAAATCGGTAAGCGCTCATAGCTTTATATTTACATAAAATTAAAGGATTGCATTTTTCCGTTTTGTTCAAAATTTTTACGTGGCGGCAGTTTATTACGGTTCCGTTACTCCTAGGAAATTCGTTTAATGAAACTATTTTGTAACAAAGTAAGATTTCATGGCGTCAATGATTTGAAGTAGAGTTGAATAACATCTTACACTTTCGGCTTGCGTTAAACACATGCAACTATTCGAGAAACCTATGAAACTCGGACTAGCTCAGCATTAATATAACGTGTTCATAATATTAATGCTCTAGCGAAGAGGTTTATACTCCCGATCGTAACTTGTACACATTGAAGGCTAAGAATCTTGTAGGTCTACTTCAGAGGTGGGTAAAAATCTGCATTTCGCAGTCTGGTTTAAAAATGAAAGTGTTAAATATCAGATAAATCATGAACACATTCCACATGTCGCATTATACATTCTTTTTTGAATTAACATAGATCATTTTAAAACCAATAGAATCTGATTTTATTATGGTATCACCGCATATTGAATCGTACAGCGTTCTGTGTAAAGATTCTCACTTTTACAGTCTAATGTGTTTATCCAAAGTAATGTTTCTCTATTGAGCACCGTTTTCGGTACCGCAGACAACATAATCTGATTCATTCCAATGATTTTCCTTGTGCAAGCTACTTCCTGTTCAATGCCACTAGCTGAGGCGTGAGGAAGATTGCACGTTAACACATAGTTCGATCAATTTCAATCTAGTCCTTTTATTCAAAATAGATTCAATAAGGCCGACTGTCGTAATGTGTATATTTGGATTATTTTCGGAATTTGCATCCCAACGAGGTTAACTGTTACGTAGACAAGGTTCGTTGACAAATGGATATATTGCGAAAAAACGAAAGACATAGGCGCAACGTTTCCTCCACGAAAAAGCTATGTGCGCCAAAAAGTCCTCAAGTTGTGTGATGAATATAGAGATGACGATGAGACTATGAGTTTCAGTACGTGAAAACTAATATAACAACTTGATGCATGATCCAACTATCGACTTGTGAGCTCTAGAAGCACATCATTGAACATGATCAAAAGAACGTATGAAATTTAGTGCTTACCGAAGTTCTGAACACTGAAAACAAGAAAAGGAGCTATATGAC